TTTCCTATTATTCTCGTTACATTCACAAAGAGCCAATGCTGCCATTGTTATTGTTATTAAATATTACAATTGCAAAATAAATTAATTGTAATTTTAAAATATAACTACTTCTATTATGTTAATAATTAATTTGGGGCTCATTCTGGGACCTAAAATTTTGTAAATCTAGTTCTGAAACACACATTAAAATGATTAAAATATAATTTGAAAATATCTACAACATATTTCCACTTCTAAAATGTACATTGAGAATGGTTAGAACTTATTGGATTTTATTAAGATACTGTTTAGAAATATCTAATACTGATCTACAATATAAATTGAAATAATATTTAGACTGGTAATTTATTCTGAAATGCAATGATCAGAGAAGCATAAGCATATCAAACATGACACCTGTTTTTCTGTTTTCTCCTGAGAATCTTATTAGGAATAAACATCATTTCATTTCAAGAATCTTGTGAAAGGTACCATAATCTAGTCCCTTTCATAGCCCAGCCCAGGCCAGCAAATTTTTACTCTTTGCAAAGGAAAAATCACACTGGAATGATCTCAGTTCAATCCAGAAGGCCAATATTTGCTCAATAAAATATTGTTTATAGCATTGATATCGAAATTTAACACATTTAGTTATAGACAGATAATGTATCCCAAAACTACTCTCCAGAGCTGGTGTTAGTTCACTGACTATAAAGATAAATACTTTTCTGTGATGTATATATTATAAATTAATATCATTCCCTTTTTTTCAGTCTTCACACAGTTTCTCTCTATTTAGTTAATATATTTGTTCAATGGAACTTTAATTCAGTTCTCTTTTTTCACTCTTTTCAAAGTTTTTAAAATAAAGTTACGAAAAGGAAAGAAAGGATATTGTAATTCTTATTGTTGTATAATAAAATATAGTTGGTGTAATTTTTTGTTTAATTTAGTTTCTATCTAAAGCTGCTGTTTCAAAACTGCACTTATGAGCTGTGAATCAAACGTGATTGATATAATGTCCATAACAGGAGGGAGGGGCAAAATAGAAAAGGTTTGCCCTGCCTCTTGCTTTTTTACCTAGTTACGTCACTGGCATATTCAATTGTAAATGCCAATGAAACCCCACATTCATCAATGCCAACTGAGATTTTCAAATACTCGAAACTTAACAGAAGACAATTTGTCCCTAGCTGATCAGTAGTTCTGAAACCATTTGTTACTTAATGAAACTAAATTTCAACAAGCTTTAACATAAGAAACTTTCTTAATGAAGTAAATTCTGTTAAGGTAAAATTATTGAGCATAGTAGTAGATAACAAATTGTCTTGGAGCTACATATTAATGCTTCTTATCTTTTCTAAGTATATTAAAGCACATATAAGCTTTCTAGAGTAATACACATTTTAAGATTATTATTTTATTTCTTCATACATTCATTTTTAATCCATTGTGTGAGGAACTACAATAAAAGAGTAAAGAAAGTTGTAAAGAAAAAGAGTTGAATTGATTGTCTTAAAATATCTCAAGGATATGTCTTGTGTTACCATTTAATGCCACATAATCACTTATTGATTTTATACTAATCCATAATACAACCAAATTGTTATGTAAGATGTTCCTGTTTTACATTCTTCCAAAGCATTATATCATATGGAATTTTACTCTACGGTAATTCCAGCCACATACAGGACATACTGAAAAAGGCTCTGAATTACACAAACTAGCTAAATGAAAGCAATTGTTAATAAGGTTATGATTGTTAATGGTAATATTTATGTAGACTGGAGTGAATGTACCAATATCTAATCATGAAACATTTACCCATCACTCAGACAAAAAAGTCTAAAACCAAGAATTCTCCAGTATTTTGAAATTTTCATGTATCCTATAGTTATAAATAGGCATTAAAATTGCACAGAAATTGTAACGATTGTCTACTAAGTGACCTCTATTGTGTCAACTAAGTGACCTCTATTGGGAGAAAGACTTTTCATCTTTGGTGATGTCGTTAAAATGAGAGATTGATAGATGCCATTACTACACAAGCTCAAGGACAGCCCAGAATGTTTTATCCACTTTTATAGTATGCTTCTCAATTTTTTTGTGTGTTTTACAATGTCATTTTATTATTGGAAAAGATCAGTAAGTATAATGAATAGATTGATTTTGATAATTATCTATAATAACACTATCAAATGTGGGGGTTGGTTAATGGCACTTAATTTGTGTTTGATAATCAATATCCAACCACTTGGTCAAATGCTGGTGTTTGGTTGTTACTTTATTGCCTTATGAAGTTCTTCACAGGAAGATAAAGTTATGTTATCGTGTGCCAGAAAACATTTTTTTTTTAATTATTAATTTTTTTTTTATATTTTATTGACTGGGATGATTGTTTACAATATATGGCTCTTTCTTCTCCAGTGGTCAGTTACTGAAGCAGAGATCTGGTGGGAATGTGGGGCTGTAAGCTGATATCTTTTAATTGTTGTAAGCACCATAAAAACTTTAATTTTGAATATTCAGTGAATGCGATTGATGAGGTTCAAATGGAGTGAAAATACAAAAAAATGTATAGGATATATAACTTTCCTCATGTTAGTTTTACAAGATGAATTTGAAAAATAAAACTTTAGTTGTCTGAAAAGGTACTCCAATTCTTACTCCTAATGTAAGTAGACAAATTAATTTTTACAACATTTAATGAGCCACGAAAACGATTTTTGTGTTCACCTGTTAATGAAATAATTATATGAGTCGTCGTAATTATTTAATTGAAAATGCCAACAAAAACTCACCACAATACCAATATTCACCTGTGAAATATATGTTTTCACTTTCAACTAGACCAATCTTTTTAGCCTAAGGATATTTTTAATGTTAATATATATTTTATGTAAATTGATGGCTTGAAATAGTCCATCAGGGAGATTTTTAGGCCTATTTTACTGATTTATTGTGAAATTACATATATGAGGGTGAAAGCATTTTTAGGGTCCATGTGAATGTTTTTTGTATGTATTTTACTGCAATAGGCTAAAGCTTTTAATCATTTTTTTATGTATTGTTTTGCAGGAAGAATTCCATGTAGTGTGGTTACAGGCCATGTGCAAAACAGGAATGCTTTTTGAATTGAGACAATTACTTGACTCTGTAATACAAATAATTAAACAAGGCGAGAGACCAAACCCATTCACTGAAGGAGGGCCTGACAGAAAGTGGGTTGATCTTGCCCTCAGGCACCCTGATATTTTACTTTCATAATGAGAAGCTCTTGGAGTTTTAAGAGCTCAGGTTACTTAATGAGCCGTCTGCAAGTTCATAACTTACAGCAGTGTATTTTAGAACAAAGTGATTTGTTGAAGGGCCCTTCTAGAATCATAAATGGAGATGAGTTGGGATTTTAAAATAACCCAATAACCTCTCTAGTAATTGGTTGTATGGGTTTTAAAGATGTCTGAGGTTTGAGGCAATAAGTAAGAGTGTATTTTTTTACTGATATCATTCACTCTTAAAATAAATATGGGACCTTCCTGTGTTGTTTATCCATATGAAAGAATACCAGATAAGATTAGTAGAAATGTTAATTTAGAGTGGGCATTCTGGTGAAGAAGAGGATGGATAACTGCTCAAGTATATCAAATCAAAAGGAATCAAAAATAAAAAGAGCCTTCATCGTCATCGTCGTCGGAAATGTTGCAAATAACCTGGTGCCTTACTTAAAAAATAAATATACATTTCCAGAATTGTACCTAGCCATTGAATATGTCTCTTGTAAGTTATAAAATGGCAATGTTTTGTAAAGATGATAGTGTCATTGTATATTCATTGCTCCTGAATGCATCAAATATCTTACAACCAATGGGTGTGTCAGTTTTCTGGCATTATATCCAGAAAATCAGCTTGGAAAAAAAGCAATTGTCACAGATAGCTTTAATAAACTGGTGCTATTGATGTGTCATGAGCTTCAATAGGAAATGCTGTATATCAATTGTTGGCAGCATTTGAATACTTTGCTGGCAGCAATTGAAGATGTTTTAAAGAATGATTTCAGAAAATGTGAAACTACAAAAAGAGGAAGTAGAAAAGAAGCAACTTGAAAACAAGAAGAAGAAAGAAAGGTTAGGAACCATTTAGGGAACCAGAATAACTTTGACAAAATTTCCTCTAGAATTCAGATACAAAGAAGCTTATTACTTAGGAAACATAAAAATGAATGATAATGAAAAAAAAAAATTGTTTCTTGTTTAAAAAAAGTTTAAAATAGTACCAATAAATTCATTTTCCTGACATTCATTTCCGGACATGGCAATAATGGATACAAAGACCAAATTGTGTTAATATTGTCATTAACCATAGTTAGTGGAACAAAAGACAGCAATCTGCTGTGACATTTGACATTAATATTAAAAAGTTAAATGTTCATTAGTATTTCTGTTCTATTCATAAACATTTATATAAATCTTTAAAAGTCACTTCGACTCACACTATTTTTTCTGTGTTTTGTGCCTTTTAAAAAATGGTATTAGGATATCAATGTGTTCAAGAGTTGGAATTTCTATTGGAAAATTTTATTTTTCATGTGACCGATTATTGGTATCCAGATGATCAGTAACTACTGCACGTGAATGATTATTGGCATTTTTAAAAATCTATTATAAAAATTATTTTTGCTATAATAAATCAATTTTATTATAAGTGTTATAGGAATATAATAGGAAAGTGATTGATGTATTATTGTTTATCCTATGTAGCCACTTGTATAGACAGAAAACAATGTTGAACAATGCTGTGAAACACTCTTTCTGTGCCATAGGCCTTCCATTTCTTTCTACAAATTAAGATGCAGCACAAAACTGGACTAACGTAACTCAAGTTTACAGTGGATTTTGTGATAAATTTGAAGTTTTAACAGCATAAAAAGAGCATAAAGGTTTCAATATATGAAAAATAACATCAGCACTCCAAGCTCTGCCTAATAGTTGATGTCTTTTCATCAAGGAGATTCCTCCAGTGTCTGTATAATGGTAAGGAAAGCCAAATATATCTTCCAATTCAGTTACCCATGGTAAAACATCATCATCATCCATTTTGACTGGAGTCGGCCCATATGAGTCTAGGAAAAAGAGAAGTATTGAAGACATGAGAGCTACTACTTGGAAAATAAAAGGCGTACAACTTTGCTTGCGTCATTTACCAATAGATGTCTATAGCGGTAAGTGATTGTGCAAAGAAACAGATGTAGATGTCATACAATAAGCTTAGGCATTTGTCATCATAACCTTATGGAAACATTTGTTGATTTGGGCCCTCATCATGAAGTTATTCTTGATTGAAATTGTCACTGTACGAGCCAAATGATCACTTGCAAGGGGTGTAAATTTTCTGCTTAAATATGAAGAAATCCCTGGCTGAGGTTCATTGAGTGCTCTGAGATACTTATGGAGAGACCTGACTTGGTAAAAGAACATGTCATGAGTGGTTTCAGCATTTCAAAATGGTGATTTTGTCATCAAAGACTGCTTGGTGGAGGAAGAAAGAAGGGTTTCGAAGATGCAGAATTGATGGCATTACTTCATGAAGACTAGTGTCAAATGCAAGAAGAATTTGCAGAATCATTACTCAACAAGCCAATTCAAAATGCCTCAAAGCAACGGGAATGATTCAGAAATTAAGAAATAGGGTATCCTACAATTTGTAGCCAAAATATATTGAATGGTGTTTGTTTGCTTGAGAACAGCTGCTTGAAAGCCAAAAATGAAATGAATTTTTGTATTAGATTGTGAATGGGGACAAAATGTTGGTACATTACTAGGGCCCTGATAATTATGTAATAACAATACATTCCATAACAATATTTTCCAAACTTAACTGTCAAGTCGAATCAACAAATTCTTCATGTTTCATATCAGTTAGTGCCAAAAACTGTTGACTTTGTAGTACATATTTTTTCATATTTTACCCGAAAGTACATATTTTTACATATTACTGAATTTTTCCATTTTTTCTGAAATTTTTTATTTAATTCTTCATTTTTCCTGTATGTTTTTGATAAGGAATCTCCCAGACAAACAATTCAGCTTTGCCAAACATTTTTTTCTGTAGCATCATCTCTAAAACGTCGCTATTTCATTGCGTTGGAATGAGTCTATCCGTTAATACCGTTATGCTATTGCAAATAAAGGGGCCAATTGACGACACAATCCCTGGTCGTGGTGTGTTGTTTTCAATAGATTCTCAAATATCAAAAATAAACGTCAGAAGCAAAGTTGTACAACTTTTATATAATCTGTTTGTACCTCGTCTTAATGAATTTGAGTTAGTTGTTATTGTCAACAGTTTCTCTCTGGTTGCAATTCTTCCAAATCCTTCTACTATTTTCTCCTGGAGATTTGGAGAATTTCTGGGTGTCATCAATGTCCGCAATCCTGGGATATTTCCCCAGAAGAGACGGGCTCTATGTGCCGCTGAAAAGAACTGGGCATCGATCATGGCTGGTGAACAGCGAAAACATCTGTGGATTAATATTGAGAATTAGACTGAAAGTGTTTAAAAATTGATGTACAATGGTAAAACCTTAGCAGGTTAGCTCTAAAACTAAAACAATATACAGTAGAACCCCTCTTTTACACTTTTGAAGGGACCGAGAAAAAAATGGTGTAAATCACAGGTAAATCACTTGCTCCAGAAGTTTGGATTTTTCTTGAATAAGAAGACTCATTCTCTTTATTTTTAAATCCATTAAGGGCAAAATTAACCCTTTATTCAAATTAAAACTTTCTTTAAATAGCACAAAACTATGATACGCAGCACGTTACTATACTTGGCCCCAATACTCTTCCTGATTCTATAGCGAGGAACACATTATCCTACAACTCTACTAGAGGAAATTAACTACAAACTAAACCTGAATTGGTTGTCAATGAGATAAATCTCATCACGAAGAAGAGAATGCTTGAGAGAGAAAGCTAAAAATCATGAAAAAAATGGTGTCCACAGATCTAAGATGAATTCAAAAAGTGCAAAAGGCAGGAAAAATTTAATTTCAAAAGTGTAAAAGCAGGGAAAATTCATCATTATGAACATAGAAGGGACTGGAAAATCAGTGTTAACTGAAGAAAAACTTAAATTTTGAGAACATTAATGCAGGGTGGTACTGTATTAATATTTCTCATACTAACTTCAGAATGAATAGATGTTCACTATCCAAGGGAAAAAATAACTTGGTGAATTATGAAATATGATATATGAGGGAAACAAAAATAAAATAAAAATAAATCAACAGTTCATAGATGCAGATAATGCATTGCATACATAACTACAGACATTCCATTACTGTTACTTAAAAGCATTTAATTGTATCCCTGATTGGATAATACTAATCTACTGTTTATAAATTTCAGTACAGCTCACCTGGAAATTTGTTGTATGTATTTTGGAGGCATGTGAGTAACATTTTCAAATAGAAAAAATATGTGAGAATTTTGAATTTCTTCTAGTAATTCCTTTAGTCGAAAATATTCAAAAACCAGGTATCCTGATCCTGTAATGTCTGTACATAGACAATTTTTATCAGTTGTACGGGAAGTTCACAATCTTATATAGTATGTTAATTACATATGTTTACATATAATAATCATGCCTTATCATAAAAAAGTAATTTAAAATCTTAAAAGCAGTTCAATTTATTTTGACAAGTAAATCTAATTGCTTCAGAAAATATAATTTTTATTTAATGTTAACTCATCATATATTCACAATCAGTATATTAACTGGAGCTATATTTTAGAGGAGGTCAACAGCACACAGTGGCGGCTGTGGCAGGGAGGATCAAGGAGCGCTACCCTCCCAAATACACACCTATCTTTTCTTTCCTTTTGTATGTTATTAGATATTAAAGTTGTTGTTCACCACATTCTCTGATTTCAGGATGCAAAAAGCCCAGCATTTCATGACCTGTGTTTTACTTCATTGGTTAGGGATTTTCGAGAACTGTGTCCTATTATAGTGTAGCTAAATTTGCTGTTGTCAGCTCCTTTGAAGCTGTGAAAATTGCAGCATGGGACTTGCAAATGGCGGATGTCTGTGGGTGCAGCCCAAGATCTGTGATGGGTACTTGGGAAAAGTTTCCTTGCAGGATGTCCAGAGCTACCTATTGATGAGTTTTTGAACTCCGTATCCAAATACGTTTCCTCCAACTTGCATATAGGGTGCAGTAGTGTACAAAACCTATCACGTGATGGAAGAATGATTCTTCCACCATGACCTATTAAAACACTATATGTGTACACTATATTCACCATTTGCTTGTATCTGGCTTGCATCTACTCCCATTCAAAAATTGTGTGCCCTCCCTCAAAATTGTCTCTGGAGCTACCACTGACCACACATACTTTTTCACATTATTTGTATTGGCGCCACAATATTCTACTAGATCAACCTGCGAAAATGTTTTCAACCACGAAATATCTTTTTCCACCCTGACACTAGAACTTGGGTCCACTGAGTTAACTTGCTGTATGCCTTACTGCTTCAACAGGCAGCCGTAGTGATGTCAAATTTAACTGACACTTAAAAATCTAACTGTCTCACCCATTATTTCCAACATTCAATAACAGAAAATTCAGAGAGCATAACAAAAATTAGACCTGTGCCATTCTTTTAAGCATCCATTGTTTTATCTGAAGAAAAAAAAATTAAAGAAATAATTGTTTTGAGTGATTTTTGACAAAAGGTTTTTTATAAATTGCAAGCATTAATTTCAAGCATAAATTACACAAACAATACTTTTTTAAATTGTAGATGACCTTCTTAAAAGAGCGGAAAAGAGAGATAAAAGAGAAATCTCTCTCTTCAATTTTGTAGTTTTGAAAATTTAACTTTTTGCAATTTTGAAAATTACAGAGTTTGCCAGGAAAGAGATTAGCTCCAACTATTTTTTAATGCTTTTTTATAGATATGATTAGAAAATTTAAAGACAAAATTTGGGGTGCTTTTTGAGAAAAAAGAAGTTTGTTTAAAAGAAAAGTGTAATTGTCTCTATTTCACACAAAATTACGTGGAAACGACTTCCATTTTCCAAAAAGTGTGACCATATTTGAATACATGTACATAACCTTATATCAAGATCTGTCATTAAAGAACAGATTCCATTCAGGTAAAAATCTCTATCTTCAATTTTATAGTTGCAGGAAATTGCCGAAAAAATTTGAACTTTTGCAATTTTTGAAAAATCAGGGATTTTAACAAAAATAAGACTGTGCAATTCTCCTAAGCCTCCTTTACGTTTATGGAGGGCAAAGATAAACCAAAAAAATTGGAGCCATTTTTTAAGAAAATTTTGAAAATGTTTTGAGGCTTCATGCTCTTAACAACTAAAATATCTGTTTCAAACTCAGAGGGTCTGAAGTTCATTGAAATTGAACAGCGAATATCAATTTTGGAGAAAATTTTCTCTACAATTTAGGCACTAGCATTGACCATGGACTAAGGGACGTTTTTTCTATCAATTGATTTTTCAGCATCAAGGACCCAGAAATCCTGGATTCTGACTACATGTGTTAGAGGCAGGAATTTACTATATAAAGGAACAAGATTTACCTCCATTTTCTTTACCAAGGCCTGCCAATAAGAGTTTAACTGTAAAAAATGTGCCTTTTTGAAGCACACAATTACAATACTTTCTCTTCTTGTGAAGCAAGGGCAAGAAAGTAAAATGAATGCTCCAATTAAATATGTTGGGAATGTTGGGGCTGGCTCGGTTGCTCAGAGCAAAGTTCCTCACCTTTTACCAAGAAGGTCTGGGTTCGATTCCCAGACAATCTCATGTGAAATTGGTTAAAATAAAATGAGTTTGGCTGTTTCACAACTAGTCCAATCTCTGTGAAGTTTTCTAAACCCTACTCCTATCCTAATTCCTTTCCAATTCTGGCCACTGGGTAGTGACACAAGAGGCGAGTATGCAGAGATGCTTCCCGGCTACACAGAGATCTTACATAGGTAATGGAGAATTACTCCGAAGCACATTTCGCTCAATGCCTCCCAAGGGGCTTGGAGACAAGTTGCGTCCATTCAGCCGCAACAAAATAAAAAATTCAACATAGTATTATAGTAGAAATTTTGGAGAAAAACTTAAAAAACAACTTCTGAAACTAATAAAAATGAACTAAATAAATTAATTAGGTAAAATAAAATAAACAACTATTCTATGTGCAGGAAAATGTTTTTTATTGGTAAATGGAATAAGAGTGTAGAAGTTTAGCACTAACAATAGAAAATGTTTGTTTGAATGATTAGAATGAAAACAATTTAGTTATAAGCAATGAGTGCAAATGAGATTCAGGTTCATTTTTTATGGATGTAATGTTTGTAAGATAGTAATGTTAACGTTGATACACAAGTTGTTTTTTTTTTTTAACAATTTTATCTCCTTAGAGTTGTAAAAGTATTCTGACCTTTTTCTTGAAAAACAGACTCTACAGTATCGTTTTTTCTAAATAATTTATTTTCCTTTTACTCTTAGACCCTTGTGCAGGTCTTTTTCAAAAAGTATTTTGGGCCCAAATTTGTAAACTCATATTTGTTAAAATTTATAACTGTTAAGTAGTATTTTATATAAAAATTGTCAACATTGAGAGTCGATACTATAAAAATGTGTCTTTAGATGAGAACTTATAAATATCACCTAGCCATCTGATTATTATTGTTATAGTTATTTGTTAGTAGTTATTTTTTGTAAATGATGGAATGCACATGGCACAGGCTTGATTATCAGGGTAGGTGCATATTACTTTTCTATAAGGTGGAATCATCATTTGAATGCTGATTCCATTTTTATACCCCAGGGTTGGGGTCCTGGGGGATGGGTGAATTGTGGTGGTGATGATGATGATGATGATGATGAATGATTAAATAGACCCACATGAACATACAGAGACACACAACACAAACGTGCCCGAGACAGAACTTGAACCCGCGACCTTCTGGTCCAAGATCTCTACAGCACTACTGCCTTAGCAAGCTTGGCTATTGGATCAGCAATTATTATTTTATTATCATTATTTTATATTCTATACCATAGAGTCCTTTGCGGCGAGGGTTTACAAAGCTCAGGTCTTTACATGGCGAACCTCCAATTAAAAGATCAATTGGTCCAATATCTTGCAGAGTTTTTTTTGTTACATCAGTAACATCTCCTAAATATGATATTTTATCTTTAAAATTCCATTTTCCCACATGAATGGCATCAAAGTCAACTTCACAAGCATAATATGCTTCTACTTCAATTCCCAGTTTCTCGAGAGCAAAAAGACCTGAAAAAATGTTGTTCAATTCAACATCACAATCAAAATTATATTTATTATAAGAAATTACAATTTAATATCATAATTGTATTGTAAACCTGTGGCTATTCCATCAAACAAAGATAATACTCGCAATTTTCTTTTGGGAAAATCTGAACAAGGAAAATATTCTGTTTCACAGTATTCAGATTCATCATATAACTTGAGTACCTGCAAAAGAATAATTTATTTTATTATTATTTTTATAACACAATAAAGAATAAATTTATGTAACAATGTATGTATGAATGTAACAAAGATTGCGTAATTAATATTCAGGACCAAAAGTAACCAACTTGTTAAGTATATTTCTTCTTTATTTTCTAAGCAAGAACCCTACATCATTATGTAATGGATACTGAGAAGCTTTAATACATGTTTTTCTATATTATCTGATATTAATCTTGCAGAAGCAGTTGTTCAGGTTTGAATGAAGATAAAGTCCATCCAAATAAACTAAACAATAACATCTCTGAGTAAGTTTTAAAAGCCACAAATGATAATTTCTCAAGGACGTGATTTTGAAGTAATATTTTCCACACAAGAAAGACAAAGTGAAACAAAAATTTAATAAAAGTAAAGGAAGCAAAAATGTACATTCTCAAAATCACTTGGCTAATTGTGAAGCAGTGTCCAAGAAATCTCTTTCAAATTATTTATTTTTTGTGTGCGTAGATGACTTTGGCTCAAATGGACCGGAAGTTACCTCAATAATTTCAAGTCTATCCAATATTTTTATTGAACAGTCATTTTTAATTATTATGTAAACAGTCTATTAAGTATACCTTAACTACTGTAGACTAAATCTACCCATCAGTATTTTTCAGGGCTGCTATACAATGGCACTTCCAATACGAGCAGTATCTATTATAGAGTGTAGTTTTTTTTATTATTTTTCCTTCATTCTTTGGATAACCAGGATTTTTATTGACATTGGTCCTAGCCCTAGATAATCCAGGTTAATGAGGTTCTACTTGTACTAATTTAAATAGAAGTGCTTTTCCTTTTTTAAAAGGCATAGATGTTTACCTTTTCATGGTTCTTGATAACATTTCCCAATTTATTTGCTCTTACAATAGCTTATATACTTGTGATTCATTAAAAATAGACACTGATGGTTTAGACCTAAATGTCTTACAGTTATGATTAATAAACGCTGAATATTTACATTTAGTTGCCACAATTCCCTTTTTCTTAGAACAGTATTTTCCTTCAAGAAATCACTACAAAGGAAACATTGCCAGTTTTCTAATCTTCCACCAAATGCTTCCAAACAATAATGGCAGTACAATCTGGAATTGGAAAGAAATAGATATGGATTAATTATGTATGTTTTAAAAGTATCATACTTGTTGACTATACATTTCTATTTACCTTCCGCAATCTATTTTGTCACATACATTGTGCATGTTTGAATAGCTTCCACACACTGTGCAATATATCTAAAATTTAAAAGGATAATTTTAATTTTTAGTGAGAATTAACAAATTATTTACAATATAAAATCTACTGACATGTTTGCCGGCATCCTCAAATGTGAAGAACGTTACTTTTATTCTTTCCTGTGAACATAAAGAAGGGACAAGCATGACAGACTTCATACTAACTAGCTATGACTAATAATGACTGGTAACAAACAAGCAAGACATTTATTCTTACTAACGTAGTATTGTAACTCATAATAAAATATAAGTAAACAATCAATAACAAAACCATGATCTTTCTTTTAGTCATGACCCAAGTGCATAAATAATATGATTTTTTATTGTTATCATTAGTGTTGAAACTATTATTTTTAGTGTAATTTCTTTGCTATATAAGATGATCATTATCCAGAATTGGGTTTAGGTCTCTCCCAGTTTGGCTACTAAAGAGGTTTTGTATTAATAATTTAGTGAAGCAGTTGTTTGTGTCTGAGAAGGGAAGAGCTGTCACTTGTTTTCTCGAAGTATAGTAGGGAACATATATACCGATGCAAAAGCATATTTTCATCTGTAGGCAGAGAATAGCTCATTTGGTATATAGGTATGTACTATGGCACAACAACTCTTTATGATCTAAGGCCTATCAGGAGCATCCTGGCCTTGCGGCCATGGGTAAAGAGCTGTGTGTGATTAGCACATAGCTATCACTGTGCTGTATTTCTGGTCTTCTCAACCTGAGAAGTGAGCTTTCTCATCATCTTACAGCAACAGATACTGGGACATGGCAAGGAAAGTGCACAATTAATTTTTGCCCTGATCAGGAATCGAACCTGGGGTTGCGCCATGGAAACTGAGCATGCAAACCTACAAGGGCTATCCCCATCGAAGACACTGCTCATTTGGCATGAAATACCTAATTTTCAATTGGGTATTTCAAAATGAATTTAAAAATACCCATTTTAAGTAATGTTTTATCTCTTCGGTGCCGCCTAGTCAATCTTGAAAATTGGTAACTCTGATGAAACATATGAATTAAACTCCCACAAATCACTGAAAGAACTTCCTCAACAAGTGTGAGTGAAACAGGATATGAAAAAGAAAGGAACTCCCTTTACATAGAATGAAGAGGGCTGCTAAAAGGCTCTTAGAATTTTGTTCAAATGTGACTCTAATGGAAATTGTTTAATGAATTTAATGACAAGCGAGTTATTAAAAGACTTTAGCAGCACTGTGAAAGTGAGTTACTAATGCCTACTCTTTGGAATTTCATTGAGCCCTATAGAAAGAATAAAGTGCCAATGAATATATTGTGCGTAAAGATTATGTTGTGTTAATATACTTTATAGGGCATATTTTTGAATTTTTTATTGCATAAAAGCATACAGATTTCATAGATTATTAGTAGGTACATGTAAATCTGGATCCTAATTGTAGTGAAGGGAATCAGTACCCCTAAAAGAAATCACAAATTATTATTTAATATAATAACACTACATTCTATTGCTTGTGCAATTATTTAATTTATTTACTATTTTCCCCTCAATATGCAGTTAACTGAGAGCAAGGCAAGCATGTAGGCCATTTTTTTGTAAGAATGTTTTTCATAATAATAACTTTCTTTCAACCCTTTACTGGTGTCAAACACGAGGTAATCCTCCTTTACGTTTAAGTCAGTTAATGTCAGTCATATTCTGTCATTGCCTTTTATTCCTTTGTCCAGGGGCTTGGCGCTGTTTGATCCCTGGGGTTCCAAGTCACCCAACCTGTGTCCTATATTTTCTCGAATTGCTTAACTTTCATGATTTCTTAGAGCATAGCTTAATTTGCACATAATTCCTTAAGTAATTCAGCTCCTGATGCCAGCCAGTTGCATTTTTAATCAAAATGTAAAGACATCTAGTATAAATGTCCATTTATGTACTTCTTTTTTCTTGGACAAAACTCCAATGGAAAGAAATATGTTCTCAAAAAAAACTTTTCTTTTGTCATCATGAAACCTCATGGGGGTGTGTTTTGAAAAACAGGAGCCTTCAAACAGAATTCTAAAAAGTACTTTAAAAAAAATTGAAATATGATATTCATGACTAGAAAGTAACCTATCACATAAGCTATGATAGTCATGACTAGAAAGTAACCTATCACAGTCTTTTAACTTGCTATTGAAAATTCTTCCAACAGTTTAAATATCTTGCTGGAAAAATTTGATTATGAAAAATGCTTTTGTTATTGATACAATGTGTTAATCTCCAAAATCAGTAATTATCAGCTGTAGTATTAATGGAATTTCAACTCTCTAATTTTTTAATGCTAATAGTACTAGAACTTTAAAAAAATATTAAAGGTTACAAATGAATGTCATATTCATTAGGGAATTTGAAAGAGACAAAATAAAAAACCTTCATGATTAACTCACTCTACATTCACTGCAGATACCACCATTAAATAAGGGATGTTTGTAGATGACATTGTCTTGATTTTTTAAAGAATAACATGCAAGGCAGATGTCCTCAATACATAACCCGTTGTGAAGTTCATGTAAATTTTCTGAAATAAATTCATATTAGAACCTTATGCATAATTGTGTGAAATATAACAAAGACATATTGGTTAAATTCTTTAAAATGTCAAACTACATAGAAATGATGAAAACTAAAAATCTTGTAGAAAAATTCAATCATGATAAACAAGAACAGTGCTGTAATTGATTAATATTTCTTATCTTAATCAATTTTTTTCAATTTGTTTTATTTTTAAAAATTGTCACATTTCTCATATTTTAAAGTAAATTCTTTCACAATTTCATTTTACTATCTAATATACAGAATATATCTTCAAAATATAGAGATAGTTAAGTAATGCTGCAAAACATATATGTTCAAATTTTGATAAAAATTTATTTTGTAGGACCCTGATGTGGAAAAAGTGTGTTTTGTTTAAACTAGTGTCTGTTCTTTCATCCATCTATAAACAACACTAGCACATCACTGAGCTGCCCCCACGTGTCATAGTTTGACTACAATTAAAAATGTATTAGCAAAAGAATTGGTATTTGCAGAAGGTAATGTGGACAAAAATCAGAATCTGTGAATTCTGAAGTGCAATCTAAGAAAAATTGCTCCTATTTTGGGAATTTATAATAAGGTTGCCCATTAACCTTGCTGGCTAATCTGTTGGGCTGCTTGGGATACATTTCTAAAACAAATCCATACATCCAAATAGTATCTCAATGATATTTGTGCCATAGCTGCCTAATTTTACCAATGCATTTTCAACGCAACCTCTATTGTCGTATCAAAGTAGGTGGGATGACTATGACACCCATCTGTGCCTTGAAATGGTGACCAGTGCCACCTTATGTACAAAAAAGTGGGAGAAGTGCTTCCATATTGTTCATTAATAACAATCTAGAGTAATGTAATAAAACTTAACTTAAAAGCATGACAAAAATCTTCTGTCATTCCATTACATTACTGAAACAATGACTGAGATAAAATTGAAGGTTAATTACTAGCTTTTAACTTTCAATGTGTTCTTGGTTTAATTTGAATGAATAGTTGCTCTGCATAATTTCACCTAATTGCATAATTCTTTTAATACTGTGCTTGATATGTGGAATTGAAACTGTCATTTATGGTATTTCATACATTCAGCACACAAGAAAACATGAACTAATATCATCACTTCACTTGTTGGAGTTTTTAATATTATTTTTTATCCTGTACTGTCTCACGTTGATCTTGGAAAATTAAATAATCAGTTAAGCCAACAAAACAAAATTATTTATCAAAGCCTCGAAACAGACCTTGGTATTCACAGTTCAAACAGCCTAAATGTGCCAGTAACGTGGTAACCTTTCCGTTACAATGAACATTTTCACACAGTGCTTGAGCTGGGCTAGAACTCCTTGAGCTGGGCAAGAGGCTTCAAAGCCTCAGGAAAATAAATCTAAAAGAATGCACGAATTTCAAAAGCATGAAGTTGAATTCAGTTTTGAGAAAAAAAGGAAGCCTGAATAAACTCAATAAAAATATTGTGAAAAATGCTTAAAATACATAAATTAGTACTTCACCTTCATCTGGGGAGCCATATTTGCCAACTGTGCCACCACAGTCCGTAAGCAGAAGTGGGCACTTGCTATACTCAATAGGTTCCTCACCTCCAAAAATTTGATTTATTGCAAGAGAACTCTAGCCACAGTCGTACAGTAAAGTAGCCTCCTGGAGAAGCTTTCTTTACTTTTGTTTCTTACCCTCAAAATTTTAAGCAAAAGCTGCATCAAATTGGGAGAGAACTCCCTGTTGACTGACCTGGGTTTTGGGGTTTATGGAAATCTGCTCACCTCACGAGAAAACATAGTTGAGGATCTGGCCTTTCTCCAGTTCTGGAATATCTCCAGTTCCTCACACTACACTGACTGAGAAAAAAATAGGATGGGTTGCAATACAAAATGTTCCCCCAAGATGTGCATGTGTTTTTACAAAATATAGTTTAGTACAATCCGTTAGGCATTTAGGTGGCATTGTTGCTGGTTGACACAGAGTGGGCAGAATTGGAAGTGGATGGACTGAAGAAACAAAACGAATGGAAAAAGTTAGCAAAGCAGGAGGTGCAGTGCAGTGGAATGAATCAGCAGAACATTTAATTGCAAATTGTGATAAATAAATACACAGGCAACATCAGGCTACTTTAGCTTGGTTAGTTATATTTTTATGATATTTATCAAATATTTTCACTGTTATGATCTCGTAGAGCTCTTAAAAATAATCTTTGGTTTAGTATATGAGGTTGTTATTGCAGTTGAATTTTTCATGTGAAAAATTAAAATGAATAGATGAAATGACCATAGTTTTTATTTGTATAGCCTACTTGAGAAAATAATATTCATAACAAAGAGTTTCTCCCACAGAATGTCAAAACTGTTACAAATATTTTTTACTGTAATTAATAACGAATAAATCCCTTCTTTACTTCAATGAATTTAATTTGTAATGTGTGATTGTTTTTGCAGTACTATGACTCGTTTCTTATTGGCAAGTTTCATGATAGCTTTTGGCCTGCCAGCAGATGAAGTTTTCTAAAACTTTTTCAAAGATATGTGAACTACAATTATTCTTCTGGGGGAAATACATACATATAATAAGATTATGAATCCAATGCATATAGTTGTATAGCACTATATTCTGTTAAACTAATTGGGTTAACTCTTCCACTTTAACCTGTACTTTTCTTTTCTCAGAAGTGATAGATGATATAATATATGGTCTTTATTATTTTATTTTCAGAAAAATGCACGAAACATTATTTTTCAAGTAGGAAATTTTAAACTTCTTCTGCAACAGTTTTTTTTTTTTTTGTTCTCAGATATGTAAAAAGAATGTGCTTGGTATTTTTATCTTTAGTAGTAGACTTAATTACAAGAACTTTATGGATTTCATTATTATGACAGTTTAGAGATTACATCGTTTATGAGAAAATCTTATTACCAATTGTACTCACCTACTTTACGAGGTACATGAAATATGCTATCTGATGTTGGATATGGGCTTCGGCTATTACCTTTTTGTGCATTCTTTTCAGCAATTTCTTTTAACTTTTCTACAACATATCGAGGGAGTAAGGAATCTGTAAAAGAATATTGAAATAAATAATTATTAAATGATTATGATATATTCTTTCATGTACATACACATAATCAATAGTAAATCTTCTACTTTACATACTTGCTTCAATAGAGTCTTCAAAAGGCAAAAGCAAATTTTGGAAACCATTTTTAGCCCATGAGATACATTCTTCTTCATTCCACCCCTGTATATTTTCCCCACATTTTCTTGCACACTCCTGTACATAAGAAAGAAGCATATTCAAATTTCATGTTCAAACATATCTCGATACTCATATACATAGAAATATTGGTAAATATTTTTACTTACCTTACAAGCTTCTACAATAGCTTTCATATAAGATAAGTGGCGTTTTTGTTTGAATTGTTTCTCAAAACATTTTTTGAATTCTTGGATACTTGTTACTGGTAACTGTGGTAGTTAAAAATGTTCTTAAAATTATTTCATTTTGAATTATAAGTATTTCTATAATTTACAAAAAAATAAATTATTGAGAAATGTTGTTTGATAAGCTGATTAATGACTAATACATTGATGTACAAATAACAGAAAGCTATGGTTCCTACCACATTCTTTTATCTATTCTTACTTGAGAACTCTCTTTTATTCAATTTAATTTAATAATAGTAAAATAATCCTTAGCTTCTCAAATTTTCTGTTATTGGATTTAAGATAGGACCGAATAATTACTCTCATACAAAAAGTTATTCTAAAGATTCAGGGACTTTGTTTACTTCCACATACGTATGTTAGACCATAATATCAGTCAACAAAAATAGAAGTGCTGATAGTCATCATTAATGAAATCAACTTATAGAAGATAAAAATCACTCGTAATAAGCCAATGAATATATAGATATAGATAGGCTAACATTTCAATGACTGAGCAATACTAAGAAGTAATGCTCTTTGTTAATGACAGAAAATAAGCCAAGGGTACAATGAAATCAAGATTTTAAAATAATTCTACTCAAATGAACAAGTGTTTAACATCATCAGACTCTTCAAATTTTATACTTTTTTGTTGTTGTTGTTGTTGTTGTTGTTGTTGTTGTTGTGTGAAAGATCACTTAAATGTTATAAGTGATAGGTTAAATATGTTATCTTTTTACAACGGACAATAGAGCATTTAAAAAAAATTTAATTGTAAACATAACTGTATAAAAGTGAAACATAGGTTACATTCTATCGCTTGATATATAAAATAATAATTATATTTATGATTTCTTATTTAGAAAAAATATTTAAAGTACTTGTATCTACATATTTGTAATGCTTAATTTTCATATAACAATTCTGGAAAATTAAGGAGACAGTTTGCTTTAATTTCTGATGTAAATTCGTATGGAATATTTCTGTTCTCCCACTTATCTGTTCCATATTTTTTTTCCATTTCATTGCATGGCAAAGCTTGATGCAAAATATATATTCATAATGGGAATATGATTTTGGATGTGAAAAGAAGGGTTTTTAAGATGTGGTCATTATTTTAAATAAATTGAGTAAAATGACAAAAAATTGGCTTTGGGGATTAGAGAGACGTTGTGTCAATTCAGATGCAATGAATTTAAAAACCACCATATCAATAGTGATAAAACGTACACAAGTTGAAATGATGTGATAGCTCATTTTCCCATCCTACAACTACCATTGAATCTCTTCTTGATTTCAGTAGTCTGTGAAACATTCATTACAAGGTAGCCCTACATGAACACATGATCTACTTGCACTTACTTTTTTATAAACTAATATCGACCTAATGGAATACATTATGATAAATCTAAAATTGTTGAAAGCACTTTACGCTGATTAGTAATTGTCACAAAAATGGAACACTTTTAGCATCCCGCTTTCCTTTTAAAAGAACTTGGAACAGGGACTGAGAAAAAGGGACTGTTCCGACTAATATGGGACGTTGGTCTGGTCACCTTAGTTTATACTCAACCTTTTACATTTACATTGATTTACATTTAGTAGTAGTAAGAAAGTTTTGTTCACCTACTCTAACCTTAATTTCATATGTGAAAGTAATATTTCAATGATACAAAAATGTGGTTGTAAACTGAAAGGTAATGCATTTTAATTTTTACTTTCTCCCCCTTGCTTTAAAAGAAGAGAAAGTATTGTAATCCTGCACCGGAAAACTGTGAATTTTCAACAGAAAAAAACATGAAAAATGGATACATCATGTTCCTGTATATGGTAAATTACTACTTCCTTCAACACGTGGTGTAGCCAGAATCCATGTTTTGTGTGTCCTTGATATCAAAAAATCGATTGACGGCAAGATGTGTCTGACCGTTTGGTGAACGCTAGCATCTAAACCGGCCAATTTTCTTCAAAATCTATATTCCTTGATTGATGTGAACGAACTCGAAGCTTTGGGAGTTTCAAACAGATATTTTAATTTTTGAAGATACTTTTCAGGAAGCCTCAACAATGATTTTCAAAGTTTTAATAAAAATGGCTCCACTTTTTTTTATTAAACTTTGTTGTCAAATAGTATAATAGGCGCCTCAGAGAATGGTGCTGGTCTAATTTTCGTTGCAAACTCCAATTTTATGAAAATTGCAAAAGCGCAATTATTTTCGGCATCTCTCCACAACTACAATATAGAAGAGGTAGATTTAAAAAAATATGCATGCATTAAAGACAGAACTTTGAAATAAGGTCATGTATGAAAATATGAGTAGTTTTTCGCGTAATTTTGCGCGAAATATAGACAATTTAATTTTTGTTTACAATTCTTTTCTCTAGAATGGCATCATATTTTCTCATAATATTATATCCTATTATGAATCAAAGGGTGGTAAAAAAATATAGGGCTAGTTGAATTTTGACGAACTCTCCATATTTTCGAAAGTCGCAAACAGTTGACATTTAACTTCAAAACTACTCTTTCAAAAAGGTCATGTAAAAATTTTTGAAGAAACGAGTAGTATTTGAGTAATTTATGCTTGAAATTAATGCAATTTGTATTAAAAAGAAATTCTCCAACTGCTCCAAATTTTCTCCAACTGATAGAGGAAGGGATGCTTAAATGAATGGCTTGGGTCTCATTGTTGAATTCTCAGAATTTTAGAAAATTACAAATTTAGAAATAATGCAAGAAAGTACTTGTATGTCCTGTTATAGCACTGTTAGTTTAAGACTAGTTAGTTGGTACGGAGAACTTGTTTAAAATAGTTTTCATGCATAGTAAAAGTTTACCTTTGAAACTGTATGTTCACCATACCAGAAAACCCATCTCTCTGATATTGATGGTCTCTCCATTTCACATAATTTCGCATCAATAATTATTGCTGAAACAGTTAACATTGAAAATAATATTCTTCATTATTTAGAGATATTGAAATATATATGCAGGGTAGGCACTGCAGGCATGAAATAGCACTGCGAGAGGTGATAATATTAATCATGGAAAGAAAACAATGTTTAATGGCTAACAAGTCCTAAAATCATTGTCTTTTGAAATACTAATAAGTATTTGCTAATGAATGTTGAGAAATGTGTCTTACGATTTACATTATTATGCTTCTACTTTACATCATAAAAAAAAGTACTCTTTTAAGTACTCCATGTTGATTTTAAAGAATCAATAGATGTTGGACAGGTTTTGATACAGCATGTGAACATCATAATAAGATATATCATATATAACAAAAGACTTTAAAGAAATTTACCAAAATTAAAGGTAGAAAAAAATTTGGAATTATGACTGAAATGAAGTCATTGTATTGGACATCTCTGACCAATACCCCTATTTATAAAAACACGCTGGTACTCCGTTATGAGTTAACTACATCTTTAATCTTTAAATGGTCCATCTTCCGGCAATAGTAATTTCATTTGCTCATAATATGCTCATTTCATCATAATAATGGAATATTTTACACCTGTTAATCTGTTTGGTAGAATGGTCCTATGAATCTATTGTTAATAATCAAAAACTGGAATCCTCAAAAGTGTTAAGTGCCAAGCTTTGAGTTATTTGCTGGTGAACTTGGAGAATATAAAAAAATAATTATTCCCTCGCTATTTTCAACAAACTTTGCTTTCTAGCAAACCAGTCCCTAGATTTACAATATCCTGATGGAAAAAGTTTTAGAGAATTAAATTTCCTTAGAAATGAATGATTATTTTCTTTTTATCTTCATGTGATGGAAAGTTATAGAATTTAGAAAGCTTTAATTGTGTTTGTAGTGGGCCCTGATCACAAAAGCAAAGTTAGGTTCATCTTACTACACTTCTCCTGTATTTTACACCAAAACAGAAAAACATCTGTTAAGTCTCAAGGATAATATCACTGTCAACTAGAGTAATGATAAGGTATATTGGGAGGGAAGGAATTTAGGGAGATGCAATTACATCCCACTACTTGAAAGTAGTCAGAGCAACAGTTACCATCAGAAACAAAATTGTTAATAGGAGTGGTTAGATAAAATTGGCTCTGGTCACGCAAAGATCATGCTAAAATGTAACCATGGATTTATTAAAAAGGGTATCAATTTTTGCAATTGTTCAATTTTTATATTCAAGCCTGACTATGTACTTGTGTAGTAAAGAGAAGGTTGGTATTGTAATGCTACAGCAAATTTTGGCAAGTTTTGTACAGAAAACACTCATATTGTGGGACTCAAGTATCAAAAAAGTGGATAAATCTTGTTCCTATATGTAGTAAATTACTTCCTCAACCCATTGTGAAGTAAGAATCCATGTTTTGTGGGACTATGATACCGCAAAATCGCAGACTGCAAAATGTCTGTCTGTGGTCAATGTTAATGACTAAACCGTTTAGATGAGTTTCTCCAAAATTGACATCCGCAGATTGGTCTGGATGATCTTGAGGTCCTGCGAGTTTGAGACAGACCCTCTTACTCCACATTGCATAAAACCTAAAAATTTTCAAAATTTTCTCAAAAATGGTGCAAAATTGATTTGTTAAACCTTTTCTTTTGATAGTGCAAAGAATGCTTAAAAATGCCACATGTCTAATTTTCGTTAAAAAAAGAAAGGAAAATACAAAAAGGTAAAAATATCGACGTCTTCCTACAACTACAATAATGAAGACCGATTTTTTTCTGAATAAAATCTGTTCTTCTTAGACAGATCTTTAAATGTGCAATTTATCTGAAATATGACTAGTTTTCGTGAAAATGTGCCTGAAATATGGATATTTTTTAACAATTATTTGCTGACGGCCGAATTTAGCCAATGGTAGGTCGGCACCGGATCTCATCATCCAGCGGGGAAGATCACTGGCACCTCTAGAGGAAAAAACATGCACTACTCTCACGGGATTAATGACCTCTTTAGTAGATGCACATTGAAAATCACTAACAACCAACCAACAAACCTAAACAATTATTTTATCAAAAAGTGCTCCAAATTTTTATTTAAATTTTAGCTCGGTTAGCGCATTAGATGCTTAAGAAAATGGCGTAAGTCCCATTTTCAGAGAACATTTTGTATTTTCGAAAATTGCAAATGTACAATATTAATGATAGAAAATTTTCCCTTAATGGAATCTGCATTTGTTAGAAAAAGAGTAGTTTTCTTGTACCTTTTGCTTGAAGGTAATGCAATTTATTAATAAAATTCTCAAAAAGATCTCCAAAGTTATTCTTTATTTTCTAGTAGGAATGTAGGACCTATTTTCGGTAAACTCTATCAATTTTGAAAATTGCAAATAACAAATTAGCTTGCAAAAACCGTATTGACGATAGAGATTATTTTCCTTAATGAAATCTATTCTTTAAAACTAGATCTTGTAATAATGTAAATGAAAATCCGTGAATTTTTGAAAATTGCAAATGCAAATATGCAATTTTTGTTATAGCAGCGGGAAGATTGAGTTTAGCTGTGAGGCTGGCTACTATTAAAATAAAAGACTTAAAACAAAAATAACAGGTTGTCCTTTCAAATATATTTTAGCTGGAAACTAAAATGGCAATGATTTGTTCTGGTAAATTTAGTATTTGAAAAGGATCTGAAGCCAATATAGTGTCATGCCTCTCGCAATGAAAATATTAAATAAATAGCTTGATGATGTCAGGAAGCCATTAATCATAGTCAAGGACCCATTGTGATATGAAACAAACTCTAGCAGCAATATGTCAAAGTATAGTCATTGCAATACCTCTTTGGAGTCAGTGCAAAAGAAAATATTTCTGCCACTGATGAAGATATAATAAGATATAAAATTACTGGTTTGTGATTATGTATTAGTTATATTCTTTACTATAATGGTTTGAAATTTTATGAGAAAAATAGAAAAAGGTTTATTTACTTTTAAATATGAACTGTATAGAATTCAATAGAAATCATTTAAGAAATAAACGCAAAATAATTGAGAAAAAAATAGTCGATTGCTAAATGTTAAAAAAAACATATTGAAGAACTAAAATAGTTGCTATCTCTTACAAGAAATATACATTTCATGTAAGATATAATGAAAAACACCAAGTTATTGTGAACAACTTCTAAAAAATTATGAATTACCTTGTGTATTGACAGTACCTGAGACACTTAACGATTTTGAGAATTCTAGTCAGATGGGTCCTTTCTATATCTTTATCAAAAATCAATTATCGTCCCCTTCTTTCATTACATGGAGATTTTCAATAGCCCACTCATATTTATTATGAAATTGTATCCTCTTTAGTAAACCTGCCTCATCTACAAAGAAAATTTTCAATGTGAATTCAGACTAGACCTTTAGCATGCATTTTAAGAGCCAGAACTGCCATTACAAAATTTGTTATATATTAATGTTAGGAGTAGGATTCTTGCTTATGGGGCACTTCTTTCTCTACTTCCTTTCAAAACATTGAATGCTGTTTCTCTGAAATTTTTTTGTTTTTTGTTTTAATTGTCGTAGTTTCAAATGTATGATCTGAGGATCACACATGAGGGAGTATTATAAGGAAACTGGGAAAAGAACCCAAATAAAAATATCAAAACTAGAAAAGATAAACACATTTTAAAATCTTAATGTTTTCGAACATGAAAAAATGTAGAAATTGTATGATGTCAGAAATTAACTTGTATTGGAAGACTATTCCATAAATTTGTACACTAGCTATACATTTTTTAAATGTATTTGTATATATATTTTTCTATTCTCTCAGTCTTTTATGATAGAAAAATTGTAAAATTAAAGGTAAAAAATAGGTTTTAATTTGTATCGTATTTACACAAATCTAATGTGTCATCGAACCGAATGCGCTTCCCATATTTTTTATAACTTCAAATTATGAAAAACAGGGTTTGTATTGAATGCGCATCAATGACAGAATAATAGGTACAGTATTGTATTTAAATTTATGTAATACAATGGATCATAAGATGATCTTCTCTGTTTGCCCTTTATATCGTAACTAAAACCCCTCAATAATAGGCCAATGATAAATGAAACAAAGTTGAATTTGTAAACTCCAGCAATCCATTGTGACATAATAAACTAAAAAAAATTGGCTGAAGTTTCTACCATTCTACAGAACAGATTTGTACTTGATTTCAATGCTCCATCAAATCTAATGCACATCATGATTTTGAGTACTAAATTAGGCCATAAAGGTATACATTAGATTCACGTGAACACAGAATGTCAATAATGAAGTCAACTTCTTAAAATCGTAATTGAAATTAGGATTTTTGATCAATACATTTGAAGAAAGATAAATAAAAGTAGATAGTTACAAGAAAAGGTCACAAGGAAGATTTGAAGTTGATTGAACGTATGAAGTACATGAATTGTCAATTTTTTAAATTTAATTCTAACGGAAGAGTAAAGTTAGTTCAGAAGCTAATAAAAATGAAATAATGAATATGAATTCTAGACTAATTAGTAATTGGTCATAAGTTCCTGAAAATAAGATTATGAACTTTTATTAGTTTCTCACTAATAAATATATTACCTGGCCACCAGGGTGAACCAATCAATTTTGCCCATACAACAACACCTTCGTTGAATTGTAAATCTTGCTTCTTGATATCCTCATTTATATGATCTTTTGAAGAAGAAGTATTGTGATTTTTAATTTCACTTCTTAAGCCTGATTTTCTCAATTTTTTCTTCTCATTTGGTTTCCTTTTTATAGTGTAAGTAATATCAATGCTTGTTTCCAATCTGAAAATGTTCTGTTTTACAAGTGGGATTTCTGGTGGCGAGGTATAACGACGTGGCTTCTTTAACTTCTTCGGAGTTCGAAGTTTAACGGCATGTTCTGAAAAGTAATACTGAGTTGAGCACTATGTAGTAAAATTAATTAATACACGACTAATTCTGAGTCTTGAGGCAAGACAATGGTAAGCGTCACTCCTATCATATTCTAGATTGGCTTATGATCTCCCATCAGCGGGGCACCGGGGACAAGCCGCAAGCTCCCGGCCAGTCAGTCACCCGGCATATGCGGTAGTGCAGTGCGTTAGTATAAATGTGTGTAAGTAAGGGGTCAGGATAGAACGAGGCAGAGGAAGGAAAGATCGCGTTGCCTTAATCCGTTTGTTAGGGCACTGTTCCGGCCTTCTCCCGGTGTTGATGGGAGAAACTACGGAAAACCATCGATCAGAGCGTACTCCAGGTAGCGATTGAACTCAATCTACTAGCTACCTTGCTGGTGTCGAAAATCCTGCCCCTGTCGGGACTGGAGCCCTAGAACGTCCCCGTCGGAGGCATTGCAGCGACATCAATTGACGCCCTGATACGTGCTCACAATACATGCATGCGTCTACATAAACGTCCCGCAGTTATGTACAGGAAAAACGGCTTAAGTGGATCAGAACATCGATTGATGTCACTGCAGTGCCTCCGGCCGGGAGGTCCTAGAATGCGGGTCCAGATAGTCGCAAAATTTTCGGCACTAGCTCCTTAGCTAGGCCGAATTCAGCAGCTGTCTGGAGAAATCGAGCGGCCGGCTGATCAGTGGTTTACCGTGGTTTCACCGATGAACATCAGACGAATGCCGGAGCTGTACCCTAACAAATGGATCTCTGCTACCTCCCGCGATAAAACATGCACAACACTCTCGGGGCTAATGACCTTGACAGTTGGCGCACCCGCAATTACTAATCGTTCAATTACTCATGTATAGTAATAAAGTAGTCTGCAGGAAAATGTGTCAGGTTTATATCTCTACCAAAGACGTCCTTCCAGGGTACGTGTTTCAATGTAGCACATATCATTTTAACATAAAATAGAAACTATTTCAGTAACTATTATCCGACACAGGTCCCGGTCCTAAGACGGCTGGTTGAGAGAGAGTATACTTTTTATCGTGTTCTGTAATTAGTTTTATTCATTAATCTTGAAAACATTGTTATTTCTCAATAGAAATGTGTTCCAAATTCTTCAAATTAAAAGAAAAATTCATTGTTTTAGCTTATTAACCTATCCATACGAGTTCATTCCTTTTAAAACTCTACAAATATATACTTTTGAAAGGCGCAACCTGAGTGCTTACACGTGCTGCTGTTGCGAATGCCAACGACGCTTGGAAGGGGGAGGGGGGTGAAGAGGGCGCGAGCGCGACACTGCGTCACATTCTCCCTGATCCGACGGAGTTCGCCACTCTTCTCCCTATCATAGCAAAAATGCGCGAAAAATGTATTAACTATAACTTAGGTAGCAACGTAGCACGTAGATCTTTTCCTCGTAACACAACCAGACCTTGTCTGCAATCTCGTGTTTTGCGAAAAAAAATGCCAGTTGTCAGTAAATATCGGTTTTCTTTATCTTGAACTTCTCTACTATTCACCTCGGGCACTCATAACAATGAAGAGAGTGTATTTTAAAAGAGCTGATCTTGGGGCTAGAATCGAGTGTTATGTCAAGCAGAAAGTGTAATTTCATGCGTCTCTAATTTATTAAAACAATATTAATTATTTGTGAATACAATTCTCAACTGTAGTTAAAGGTGAGCACACTTAAAACATGTTTAAAACATGTTTAAAACATTACATATTCAGTCTTTGTTTCTCTAAAAGAAAAAAAAATGAGAATTCAAAATTTACCATAAAAAATGTCAAGTCCTCAGTAGTACGGATTAATATCGTTTAATCCCTCTAATTGTTTTTGTTTTCCTCCTTTATACACTAGTAATGTATTGAGTACGGTAGAGTGAAAAGAGTCCCAAGACCAGTCTAGTAGGCATACATGATGACGCGAAAACATGTGCGTCACCAGCACCAAAGTACAGTGAAACCTCTCTGCAAGACCACTCGTATTAACAGAATACCCCTCTAAACAACCGATTTGTCTTAGAACGTACACTGAAACACATTTATTGTATGCAAATTATACTCCTGTTAACAGACCACCTCTATTTTTTTTTACTAGGCTGTCCGGGTGACGCCGCGTCCATGACGAAGGTGCCGACGTTTCGGTCGCCATTCTGCGACCTTCCTCAGGGCGTAATGCTAGCTTTTTAAATGCATTTAAAATATAGTAAATAGTTCTAAAAAAAGCATTTATGCCAAAAAGACAAAGTAAAACTTGGTCAAAATGTTTTATTTTATATAATTCACTCTCGTATACTAAATACACTTTCAAATAATAGGCTCTTTCCTAACCATCCGATGTCTTGTAATAATAGACCGTTTAAAAAATCCCTTTTTTAAGAGATTACACCTGTAAAGAACAGTTTTTTACGGAAACAACTGTGGTCGCTCATTAGAGGTTTCACTGTACTGAGGGGGAGGGAGATGCTTCAATAGATGAGGTATATATTAGGGGGGGGGGATTACCCTCAAATGTACCGTTGTCCCGTGTACCAACAACATATTCGGGGAGTGGATGCGTCTCTTTTGACCACGAAACTACTCACTCGCTCGTTGTCTGGATCGCCGGAAGACCTTTTCCGCCATCTTCCGCGTGGACGCTCTGAGTCGCGGCGCCATCTTGTGGGACGTCGCCGTCCAACCGCCAGCCAGTCGCCCGGGGCTGCGCGCAGATCCGGCGGCGGGCGGGCGCTTCGGCGAACTGCGCTTGCGAAGGGATCACGCAACCCCACGCCCTGCGCACAGGGCGAGCGGCAACGGCGGCGGTAGAAACGGGTGCGGGAGGGGGGTGGGGGGCGCCCCAGACTTCAGAACTGCACAAGGTCTCCCAAGGGAGTAGAACCAGGGAGGGAGGCTTGTCCCCGTCTAAGTAAACATTTTATTTTTGGAATGTTGATGGATTGGCTGAGATGGCTCTGCGCAACAACTGTCGCCACTGTAGTGTCCCTGATCGGAAGGTTTTACAGTTCGAGTCCAGATGGTAGCGGAGTTTTGCAACTGGGTCGAATTCTGCCGCGATCTTTCCTTCCACATCCTTGTCCCCTCCCTCTCCCCTTACATACCCACACTTACACTTACATGCACAACACTACCACACATATCGGGAAAAGTATCGAGAGCTTATAGTTTGTTCCGGGAGGGGTTGTGCTCCGATGGAGGAGATACCTCAAGAGGGAAACCTCCGGCAAGCCGACGTTATGGGTCCCAAATGGGGGACGGGGCGCCAAATCTCACTTATAGCGGGAGAGGAACACCGCCACCTCCCGATATATAACCTGCTCAACACTTACTGGGTTAATGACCATAGATGATGCGTCTGGGAACACGAAATAATTAACCATCCAATGTCTTGTAATAATAGACTTTTTTAAGAAGAAGGAAAAAAAGAACATTCCTCTAAGCGACCCCTCCCTTTCCCCCACACACATTTTGACCCCTGATTAAATAAATGGATGCATTCTTGTCTTTGGCAAGATAGCGCGACGCAGTGGCCGCGTTGCGCCGTGGGGACGATGAGGGGAGTGGCGGAAGCCTGCGGGGAGACGCCAAGGCTGCCAGACTCAGGTGCTCGGAGTCGGGCAGGAGGCAGAGCGTGTGTATACCCGTGACGAACAAGTAACAGAGGCGCGACGCCCGCTCAGTTATGATGTTCTCAATTTTCTCGCAATGAGCAGTCTTCCCCAACACACTAATCTAGATGGCTGCGACCATACGATATCTCTCATCGACCAATTGTGCACATGCACATAGAGGGGCGGATCCGGGACGTATTATAGGGGGGGGGGATGCGATTTCCGTTCAGACCTGCCCCGCCTCACAAATATGTTTGAAAAAATAAAAATAATTGTTAATTTGAAATTAAAATATACATTATTGAAGAAACGAACATGTTTTGCAAGCGTCATTAAAGATATTCCATTTATTATAACAGATTTTTCGGGCTGGTAACTGGACCACGGCGAACCAGCTCGGTAAATCTATCTTGTATTGACTCAGGCCGCGAAAGCCTATGATACTATATATTCCATTAATTGCCCGTTAAATCGCGAATTCACCGCATTTCGGACTTCAACCATCTACAAATACTCCTGTCACTGGCGGGTACAAAGACGGATCAGAAGTCTTCACAAATTGTAGGTCAGGGATCATAGAGTCCACGGAAAAGTAGCGACAGTTCAAATGACCGAAGACGCATTGTACGAAGTGAGAAAATGCATTTATAAAGAAATAGATTTGGTTACATGAAACGAAGTAAAATAAAACATTAGACATTTAAATGAAATTAAAAATAATAACGCAGTTTACACATACTTCCTCGTAAGTTGTAGGTTTACTCTAGAATGCCCAAGGATACCTTTTCGACACTGGCAGAATTTAATTTTGCAACATAATTGTAATTCTGTCGTGATTGTTTCTAACTTAATTCAGTTATATGTGTTCTGTGAAGTATTAGATCGTCCATCCTGTGATAATCGCTATTTATGTGGGCGAGTTTTTAAATATGTGTCGCAGAGGTCTTGGGTCTCCTAACATTCTTCGGTTCCTACGAGATACTCCGGGTAATATTTCCTAAAGGCCTGAAGAAAACAACAATGATGAGAGACGAATAGCCTGTGCCAGCTGGTAAAGAAGTTGCTCACTATGTAGAGAAAAGATTTTCTGTATACATGAGAATATTCTTGATAGTTGGTTTGGGAATTAGCTTAAAGTTAATTTAGATAATTATTTTTATGAAATCATATATAAATGTGGGGCATGTTCTTTTGCTTTGCGTATTTTAATTCGTAAATATTAAATATTTTATTCGATATATGAATGATCTTGAGTATCAAGAGCACAAGAAAATATTCAGTTATCGCCCCAGCAACCTACTGAAAATATGAAGGTATCGTATCGTCCCCCTAAGACGCAGTAGATACGTACATAATACATAGATACTGAATTCCGTGCGTTCTCATGTTAAACACAGAGTCACAGTTCGCGTTGTAATCTTTCTCTCCCATCCTGTCCTCACTCGTATCCTCAGAATCAAACTAATTCTTTATACCCCTTCGCTTCGAAAAACTGCTGCAGCAAATATGCAGTTCTCTGAACAGGGCTCAAATTGGTCTATGGTGCCAAAGAACGAATTCGTGGAGAGCGTACATATCACGCAGAATCACTCGTATTATGCAGTAATATTATAATATGCTAGGAACATATTATAATATTGTATATAGAAGACAATGTTTGTTGGTTCATAATTAATGCGCTGCAGTATCCTTCATCCGATTGGGATAAAACTTTGTCGAGTTATTGATTGCACTTCCAGGAAGAATAGAGGCATGGTACGATGGGAATGCCTACGCGCATAGATGCGCGTTGATGATTTTATGCCGATTCAAGCGCCCTGAGCAGGGCGCTCGAGGTAACTGCACTTGACGCAATCCGTTGCACACGGAAGTATGATTATTAAGATCGTCATTGCGTATTCTGCCCCTGCGATTGCGAAATTTTGTCCCGAGAGAGACAGATACTGGGAGACAGAGATACACAGAGAGAAACAAACAGAAACAGAGTGTCAGAGAAGGTGAGAGAGAGACACGGAGAGAGACGGAACCACACTCGCGAGAAAGTCTTTCGTCTATTGAAGTTTTTGCTGAGCGTAGCCTAAAACGTGATTAACAGTCACGTGACCAGTAGCATGAAAAGGGTAATCCATTCTAATAACGAAGTATCGCCGGGTCCACTAGTAAATAAATAGAAAGAATTAAATACAAAAAAAATGATATAAGATATTTATCCTACAAAAAGAGCAGTTTCTCAATTTACTGCATTCTTTTAATTTATATATTACAATGAATGTACCTACACGGAATACATTTACATAACGAAAAGCAATATATCAAATTATAATTAACAAAACCACAGCTAGATATGAAATAAAAACTACTAATCTAGGTTACAGTGACCACGATGCACAAATTCTTACACTTACTAATAACATGAAAAATGACAAAAATTATACACGCATGTGCAGAGCATTCACTAAAGTTAACATAAAATTATTTACGGACTACTTGCTGAAGGTATCATGGGACACAGTGTATAACGCTGATGACAGAAATGAAAAAATGTAATAAGATTTTAATAAATAAATTATCATGTAGAACAATACACGTGTGTAGAAGTTTATTTAAGAGTCCTAAAACAGTCTTTGCATCAAGGCTTGGATTTTCTCTGGGGGACCCTGTCTGGACATAAACGTATATTAATTGTAGAGGAAAACAGAAAAATGAAATAAAAAGTTAGTAGAGTAGCCACCTATATAAATAAAAATGCGAACCAAAGAAACACATAATTAAAATAATTTATTCGTTGAATATAATAATAATAATAATAATAATAATAATAATAATAATAATAATAATAATAATAATAATAACAATAATAATAATAGTTTTAAATTATGTCAATATTATTATATTCTTTGAATCGCAAGCAGGTAAATACTTTTTTGTTTGATTTCATTAGTTGGAGTAAGTCTGGTGGTCAGTACAGTTTAAAATAGGTCACCAGAAGGTCGGTATTGATCTGATTACTCCAGCAATGATTCGTTTTTTTCATTTAGATCAGTTTGCTTTACGTGGGAGCTATTCAGCCAGACGGCAGAGCAATATGCAGCAACGAAATATACCCGGCTCAGAGTTCTAACACGGATATTTGACGTTTTTACTCCCCACATTTCCAATGGTTTGTGTGTCATTTCGTTCTTTGGCTCAGGTCTTCGTGCGTCTGACCCACTGTGAGGGGGGACGGGGCCGCACAGCGCAGGGCAACTCCCTTGGGAGCTGGAGGGAGGGGGGCTGGGGAGCGGCTCACAAAGGAAGGGCTTGGCCAGGCGACGAACACACAGTAGACTGAGGAAGAGTTAAGTATCGGTATTTAAAAAGAAAATAGGTTGGCCGAGAAAGAAAGAAGGAAAGCAGATTATTGTGAAAATAATTATAAAACGGGATTTGTGCCAATTAATTGGTCATCTCTCTGGCGGAATGGTTTCTGATTCTTGCCAACGATAAGAGATACATTGCGCTCTAACTGGAGTTCAAGTTTCAACTCCAAAGAATTCCAACGAGGTCGATTGCTCGTAGGGTTACCATATTTTCATTACAGAAAAAGAGGGCACTTCATATAAAATGTTTTAATATAATAATTTATTTTTCTTAAAGACAAAATAACCACCACTTACAAAATAAATACTTCGATCATTGTATTCACTTTCACAATCACAAAATAGGCCTACTTTATTACCATTACGGCCTTTCTCACTTTTATACCGGAAGTATTTTTATTCTAAAAATGACATACGCACATTAAAAAGGTTAAGTTTTTTATTTCCTAGAAGTTTAGCGTCCTATTAATGGGCCAATTGATTGATGGGGGCCTATTGATTGATGACCACATGTCTTAGCCTTCATCGTCTTCATCTTCACTATCGTCTTCACTCTGATCAGTAGGGGGCGGGTTTTGATGACATTGTCAAAAATGATCTATAAAATGCTCTAAAATGCTTAAAAAATGTTAAAAAAAAACAAAGAAAAAATAACGAACAAAATTGACAAAACCACTTCAGATCAACAACTCAAGTCGTTGGATAATTTTCTGATATAATTGAGGATTCTTCCTTTTTTGTTCAAGTGAACTCAGTTTTCAAACGTTTGATTTGGACTGTTATTTTAAAGAAAATCGCTGCCTTTATTTATCGCGAAATCGGCCGAACCGACAATGGCGCTGATGGCGCCAGAATCCTTAGTTTGGATAGTACTCACAACGGTTGACATTACAATATATGAGCGAAGAAATCGAATTGGCTCCTCTGGAATTCTGTGGTTATCATTTGTTGTACCTTGTAAATATTTTTGTATCAAATACCATTAAAATGACATTAAAATCGATGAAATAAGCGAAAATGCAGTAAAAATGACGTAAAAGTTTAAAAATGGCTCATTAGTCGAAAATGGCAAAAAATGCAAACAGAAAGTACTTATAAAAATGTGTTCTTTTCTTTTGTCATAACATAAAATGAATTTCTATACTAAACGGCATTGTTCCAAAGTGAATAAAAAAAGACATTTCATTAACCCCCCTACTGATCAGCATTTTCAGGAGGTTTAACGTGTATATCAGCTTCTAAAAATGCTCATATGCTTTCAACAAGTTGGCAATTTCATCAACTGTCAACTTTCATGCGAAAGATACGACCAGAATAATAACCTCGCTTGGCCTCACTAGAATGAACCTAGGCCCCTTACTGGAACGTCAAAGTTAAACACCCAAATTACTAAATACAGGGAATGATTTTGAAACCATAGGGTTGATAATCGTTAAAAGCATGTATAAGAGTGATGTTGATGTACCTCCTCCTGGTGGTGACGCCTATGGGAGGGTTGGGAGGCAAAATGCAAAGCGTGAAACGTTCTTAACCCAAAATTTAAAAAAAAGTACTTCTATTACTTATGTATTGAATTTTTACGAGTGTAACCGTGTGAGAACACAATATTTTATCGACAACCTAATTATTTCATTAACATTAGGATGTATTATGGCTAAATATCTTCACTAAAGACCTGAAATTTCGTAATTGTGATTTTTTATTGAATTCCAACAACTCATTGGAAAATTAAGTAGCAGGAACCTCGCTCATTTACACTACAAAAGAGAATAGTTCATATTGCCGCAAAATTATATTATATCTTAAGGACAAAACGTTTGTTTTACGATCATGGAGAATTACAGGTAACTCAAAGTAAACAAAAGATATTGAACAATTTGTTTTGTGGATCGTTGTTTGGATTGCTTTTTGGCTTGAGCGTTTGACTGATGTAGCAGGAATAGGGACGCGTGTGGAATAAACACACATCGAGCAAACATTTATAGAAAAATCTTTATTTATAAAATTCAATGCATACATTACTTATCTGTGTCATGACATTTGACACATACGATTATAATAATACTTATATTTATATCGTTGTAATCACATGCGTTTTTAAAGAAAGTTACTCTAAAACATTCATTCTGTTCGTTCTCAAAGAAATACACTAGGTTTTAGTCAAATATTCTAAATATTCATGTTCAAACATACAATTACTCCTTTGTTTTGGTTTATTTGTCATTCTTATATTGTATCAAGTTGTTAACTTAGTACACTATGTATAGAGAAAACAATTGGCGTGTTACGTACTCTAGTATTATTATCATTATGAATTGTTTTAATCTTTGTCACAATGAAATATTGAGGTTTTCAATAATTTATGAAATTTTCATAACTTTAAATTCATACGTCTATGTTTTTGGGTTATTATATGAGAAATTCAGTCTATAGCTATATTCGGGATCTATAATATTTCTATTTTATTAGCTTTAATCCCCTCTTGGCTGATAGTTTGAAATGTTTAGTAGCGGGAAGGAACTTAATGTTTTAACAAAAAACTCCACACAATGATTAAATTATCACTACAGTATCTGCAATGTCACTTAATATTCAAATATAAGTACAGATACTAATCAGAAAGACACTGTACTTCAGAAAAATTGAAAGGCTGAGCGCAATTTAAGGGTAATACTCCGTAATGACGACATATATTAAACGGGAGCAAGCTAGCGACAAATCCCAGATTTTCAAAAAAGATTCACATTAATAATACTTTAATAAAAAATTGGACGAAAAACTGATACATTGTATCAGGGTTTCTGGAATTGGTACCTTTCCATCTTCAGGCAAAATTGCTGTAAGTTACATAAACAAAAGCTTTTGGAGGATTTTTTAAATTAAAAAAATTGTAACATTTGATTATGCATATCTTGTTCTGGAACTGGAATGGAATGTTTCATAAACTGTCCATCATTAAACCAAAAGGCCAACACCTAATGTAAAAAGTTAGAATTTAAAAAAGGGGCGAATAATAAAATAATCGTATTCCTCATCGAGTTTCTGGATGTTTTTTCAGAGAACTACGTTTCGAATTACGGTTGTTTTGGAACTCCTCTCCCTTCGAAAATATTGCGTCCATTACCAGAACACTTTTTTATGTTGAAACAACTTCAAGAATCCTTTATATTTATGTAATGCTGTAAGCAATGCACAAGGGAAAGAATAATCATAATTTTACCAATAATAGTAATGCGAATTACTGAGATTTATCTAAATTGAGAATTTATTGGGTTTGTTTACCTATTTCGAATTTGTGATATTTCATATATTTCTGGACTGCCCTTGAAATCCGAGTTGAAAAAAAGAGTTCACTTAATTTCAAAACCCAGCTGAGATAAAAGTAGCTACTGTAGCTAAACAAGATGAAGATGATCAATGGAAGGTGTTGAATAGGACCGTGTGTGGCATAACAAGGTCATCCACTGCCATAGATGGTTTTCCTACTATAAACATGTGCAAGTAGTAACTAAGGTCTCATGAATATTAGTAACTGTACTGAATATTGAAGAAAGAACTTTCAACTATTATAGTTTTCATACGAGGTGATTAAAAAATGCGTGAAGTCTCATAAAGGTGTGGTATCTAGATCGCGATACTATGTATTTCCTTTCTCTATGTCATTATCACGACAACAGCACGCCGAAAAAATGATGGTTTGGTTCTAATGGTTATTTGACATATAGAGCATTAAAGAAAATGTATTAAGATGGAGTAAGGGGGAATAAAAGGTGATGATGGATCACTGCAAAGAAGTTCTTAAGAGGCTTGAGTGTAGATGAAAAGGAGGAATCAACAGCAAATGCAAAGTTACTCCAGATATAGTAAGTTCGGAGCAACGTATAGTGTGTTAGGAAAGGCAAACCTACACAAGCTTTTCTGTTAGAAATGTTGCATTTGAGACAAGAGGATATGCTGAAGGTATAAGCTGTTCAAGTCCCTGTGCGTGGAGAGAAGAAGCTTTTTCACTCCAGCAAAAATTTCATTTTTAGCACTGGCAAGACAATCTCCCCTGCGCCTACATTTCCTTATGAAATTATGCATTTGGACGCAAGAAAGTCTTTCATGGAACTGTAACTTTTCGATGGACTTTTTTGTGACTAGCCGCAGAGGATATACTCTCATCCAGAGTTAGTAGAACATGGTGCGTGTCAAAGTAGGGTCATTTTCTATTCCATTCCAGCATTTTTCATCCTAACATGTTCTGAATGCAGGGAGGAATATCTATCATGTGGGAACGTTCAATTCCAAAACGATGACTACGGAGGAATGATCACCTTTGAGGAAATTCCTATCCTATCATGTTACATAATGAAGGAAATAAATATCTCCTGTGAGATAACAATTCAAAAACGCGTGAAGAGAGAAAATCTAGTTACCAATGCGCCAATTTTACTCCAAATCGTTGCGTTGGATGGAGGGAAGAGGGTGTTCCGTGCGCCAGCCTTTCAGTCAAAAGCGACAAGTGTGGAAAGAAGTGTGTCATTTGAGCCAACAGGACATGACATTCCGTCAGGCGACACGCAAAGGAATAGTATCCCATCAGCGCCAATAATTCATTCGAGACTGACGCGTGTGAAGGAGCTACCCTTCAAATCGTCGCGCCCAAAGGGAGGAATGTCGCAGGGTTGGAATGTCGGCCAAGAGCCGCGGAGCGGTGCGCCAGTCTCGAGAGCGCGGAGCTCAGAGCGCGTTGCCGGAAGACTCGCTCTCCTCCACGTTGGTGCTGGGGGTGTCGGTGCGGCCCAGCTTGTCGTTAAGGTGGTACCACTGGGGCGACTCCTCGCACGGGATGGAGTCCTCCGGGCGGGTGCAGGTGAACGCCTCCTGCGGACGAGACCAAATGGGTGAGCACTTCTGCTCAGTGTTCCGTCTTAAATAGAGCGCTCTCACTGTCAAGATAGAGAATGAACCATTTCTATGGAAATGGTGCGCATTTCGCTATTTAGGACGATCACGATATTGAAATATCAAGTAGCGTTACTAGGAAAATGTGATTAGTATTACAGGTAAGCTGTTAATATTACCGAATTGATAAGTACTTTGACCCGTGCAAATATTCTACTCTTTGTATACCATTCTTTAATAGGAGGAAAGGCGTTGAATAGGAATCAACACATAGCAGTTTAAGTTGCACTGTGTTGAATCCACCATATTTTCAACTAAAGACTAAGTATATGAAAGATGGTGAAATAATGAAAATTGAAATTATCAAAGAAATGCAGATGTTCAACTAAATCTTAAAAGAAGCGTGATAGCGATTTATCCCGTCTCTACCATTTTGGTCATACTTGAGACTAAAGTTGTGATTGATGGGTGATATGGTTAGAATGATGACGGAGCTTTGGTGGCAAGAGAGGTGGGGCAAACGGGATATTCCCAGGAAAATCTGCCGTGAGCCCTCTTTATCCATAAAAAAAAACCACGCGGATGTATCAAGATAAGAACCACGTACCCGGAGGTAGAAGGCAAGCATAATGACAACTAAACGACGGTCGTCCTCGATGGAAGCAAATGTATATCTTTATATGACTCTGAGTCCCCAGCCTTTTCGGCCATACCCAATATGGATTTAACTGATGGTAACGGGCGATATTAGAGAGTTTTTGAACTTAACTGAAATGGCTAACGTAAATGCTTATAATTAACGTAACGTCGAATCTTGTGTGAAGCTCAAAGAAAGAGTTTTTGCACAACGCTTACGGTTATGCTTATAAGGTGACGCTATAAGGCTCATGGGCTGACATCTAGTAGCAACAGTACGTTACACATAAGTTTGGCGCCTTTCCGATTTTGATTATTGATTTTTTCCCTTTGGTAAACTGTGTTTTCAATTAAGGCTATTATTATTTTAAAAGGATTCCCCATTTGCAAAACCACAAGAATTTCAATATTGCTCCTCACTGGCTTCCATCCTCGTACAGAGTGAAAGCCAACACTTCCTTCAATGGTATAAACATTTTTTTTCAGTAAACCGCGGACCGAGCACCGCTATGAAGCTTCGCTTACCGATCCGGGCCTGGTTAACGCTTATGTTTATTACAGAGGCCATGATTGTTGTTCCCGGCGTCACGTGGCAATAGCCGGTTCCGCTGATGTTTAAGCGTCGATGAGCAAAAACTCTATTATGATTTGAAGGACGGAGACACGGTGGAAAGAGAGGTAGATGGAACGGGACTATCCTGAGGGAACCTGCCAAGAGTCCTATTTGTTGACGTGGATGGGCGTATGAGGGGTGCGAAGGCGGTACCTGGTTGAAGAGCGTCTGCTCGGGGCAGATGAAGGAGAAGCGGTGCGGCGGGGGCGCGGGCTGGGCGTCGGCGCCGGCGTCGGCGGGGCCGTTGGCGTTGGCGTTGGCGTTGGGGTCGACGGGCAGCTGCAGCGGCAGGCACACGTGGAAGACGCGGCAGGCATTGGCGGGGTCGGCGTAGTAGCCGTAGCCCCGGCCGTCGCACGAGAAGGACTCGTCCGGGGGCCCGCCGCCAGGGAGCAGCGCCGACGCGTTGGCCGGCAGCCCCAGCGGGTTGGGCTCCTCCTCTTGCTCCGGCTCCACCCCCGCTCCCGGCTCCGCCTGGCGTCGCTCCTGCGCACCCGCGCACACACTCGTCTTATTATCTACGCACGCACCATACAAAAATGCACATCTGCTCTAAATTTTAGAACCAGATCAACCTGCAATTATAATATCTGTAAAATTCGGATTGCTTTTTATTTCAAAGGGCTTCCCCATTTGCGAAACCACAAGAAATTCAATATTCCTTCTCACCTCCTTCCTCCTCACATGACCTTTAAGTAGACGCCATTATGTGTGATGTTTGAAAGATGATGATTGGGTAAATAATTAGAACGGTAAGATGATAATAATGCGGGGAAAATATAAAGATCAGCAGGTGTCACATATGGTACATTGTTATGCAATTCTGAATAAACGATAATACGTATGTTGTAGTCAAAATTACATTAAAATATACTTTTTTGTATAATTTTTAGGTTATTTAGTGAGCCCCTCCTATTTATTATTACACAATGCCCCATCAAGAGCATGTCAGAACATGATATATCAGGTTAATCAACTACATTTCCTTAATATCGAAAAATCAATTGTATATTATCATGGAGGTGAATGCGGATGATGAAAATATCCGCAATGTACTGATTTATTAGCATTAGATCAATTTCGAAAACACAAGTTGATAGTGCTTTAAATCGGATGTAACGTGAATACATCATTGATTACTTTCTTAAGAAAGCAAAATAGATAGTCAACTCAGCTCGAAAAGTGTGAAGAGATAAGTATTGCGGATATAAAGTGAAGACTATGGCAACCACTAGTTTCCTCCTGTCACGAAACGAATAAATATTTAATTTCGTTGTCTTGGCTCCAAATTATCTCCCATTTCCTAACCAAAGAGAAACCCTAGGAGTTTCCTCGGGCTCGGCCAGGGGTCGCGGGTCAAGTGTGAAGCGGCGTCATCTTTCTATTGGTTGCTATAACCGCCCGCCCCGGGACGTTCTCTGACAGCACTGCAACTCGGTTACGTAACTCTGGGGCTGCCCCTGCCGCGCCGGGCTCCGCTGACCGCCATATTTCTATAGCGAAGGGGTTGCCTAGTCCCAAGGCGCAAACCGCGAGCGTCACGCCAATTGGCCTACTTACAATGCTTATTATTAACGATACATTGAGAGGATTTGCAATATTAATAACTCATTCAAAATAATTAGTAAAAATAATAACATGGACAGACATACACTTAATTTATTGCAAGGCGGCTTATTCATAATCTCCATAATGTTCTTTCATGGACTAGAGGCCAGACGATTTTAGGCAAAATACCCTATAATTTTCTATTCAAGATACATTACAAATTCTGTAGGTCTTCTGTGGTAAAAATTCTGTAGGTAAAATCCTGTAGTTCTTCTGTGGATGAAGGCTATATCAATGCATTGGTGTTATGTATAGGAAATACTTTTATCCTCATTTCTGGTCTTTTCTTGAATAATTCTACTGATGGAGGCATTGAGAGGAATGAGAAGAAATTATTGATAATAATTCGAACTTAAAAGAGTTAAAAAATGGGGATGATTTCGAAGTGTGAAAACTGACTTTTAGATGATATTGATCAAAACGTTACAACAAGGATTAAGTAGGCTGAAGTAATATTAGCTGATTGAGATCATTTTACTTGGAATAGGGTGCATGTTGTTAGTAAAAAGTTTTAATGTCCATATATATTGGGTCTTGATAGATTTGTGTAGCCGTATAATGTCTCTAGAAATTTGAAATGAATGAATACAATGTTGTTGAGTATATTTTTATACTTTAGTGCTTTTTGATTGATTATTTTGGTAATTTTAATGCCCAATATCCAGCCTCTAGTTATAATAAAATATGAAGCATTAGTTACAAAATAAATTGTCATTCAATAACGGATTTAAACAAAACAAATTTGTATGTATAAACAAATAACGGTAATAATCTGATCGAGTGATATATTTTGCTTTGAAAACCATAGAGGGAGTGCGGTCGAAGAGGATGAACTCTATATGAGCAGAATATAAGCAGAATTTCCAGACTGTTATTCAGGGGAATGAGGGATAGATAGTTTTAACGCATGTACAGAGTCTTTGCTACACTGAGCAAATTTCGTGTTTTTTGCAATGTCGATATTTTAATGAGGCGAAGTGTGTAAATACTACACGTACTTGAAAGGACGTCCAATAACGTTGAAACAAGTTTGCTAACTTTTCTTCTCTAGGCGCCGGGGTTTAAATCGCGGTCAATCCATTTGGGATTCGTGGAGATTTTCGACAAGTGTTTTGGGTTTCCTTTGCCTATCATTACGTCATCTATTCCAAATTCATTCTCATTACGCAGCAGCAACAGCATCATCAAAGCTCAACGCTAACGCAGAATCCCTAAAGTCCCGACAACAGCAGCATGAAGAGTCTGGCTGAGAATCTATGGCTCTTCATATTATAAATATGAAGGCGCGAATGGATATTCACCCTTAAAGGAGGTGTGCCGTAATTGTAAAATAATCGTGAAATATGTATGAATACAAACGTGCCGTTGGGAATGTTCCAGCACAGATAGAAAGGCAGAAGAGCTCAGAGAGAAAGATATAAATGGATAAAACGGATTCGAGAAGACATATTCACACAAGAAAGATTCAAACAAGAAATAAAAGGTTCGTCCACATTCATGTTTGAGTAGAGCTAAAATTCAATTAGAATGAAGTGTATCATTTTAGCTGTTATTCTTTTGAATTTACTTTAATGTCTTATTCTATTATGTACTCAATCTATTTTAGACGTAATTGCCAATTTGTGTTCATGAGAAAATTAGATCTGAAGTAGTAGTTTTCACTCCTGATTTAAAATTTTGATCTTAGAAGTACAGATTCCACTATATTTCATTGATGAGTCACAATATAAAATATTTGTTACTTAGATTTTGTACGTTAACCCATTATAATTGCGTGCAACTCTCACACTGAGAACACGAGTTACGTTGATACTATCGACATTTGTTACCAACTCTCTCTTTTCATCGAGTCTATATAGTATTAGACTTATGGCGCCTGAAGATAATCGCATCTTGAATCAATGCCACTGCTATTTACATATTATGTAATTTTCGCGTTTGAAGTTGTGTATTTAGAAATGGCATTATTTTAGACACAAATTAAAGAAACCTTCACTAGTCAATGATATTGATTGGTTATGTAAGTACGCTTCAGAGAACATGAATCATATTTATGCCATATGATAACAACAAAAGTAAAAACTAAATCAGTTATATTTTATAATTACTATTTACCACCGTG